GATACTGAGGGGACACTGGGAGACACCGGGGGGGACACCGGGGGGGGGCACCGGGGGACACCAGGAGGGGACACCAGGGACACCGGGGGGCACCGGGAGGGGACACCGGGGGACACTGGGAGGGGACACTGGGGGACACCGGGGGACACCGGGAGCAGCTCACTGAGGGCTCCTCAGGGGGACCGGGAACGGCGTAACCCAAACGCACCAGCTCTGCTCCCACATCCAGGCTCTGCGGGAACAACCGCAACAGTGGGAATGGGAACAACCGGAACAACCACAACAACGGGAACAACCGCAACAGTGGGAATGGGAACAACCGGAACAACGGGAACAACCGCAACAACCGGAACAACCGGAACAACCGCAACAGTGGGAACGGGAACAACCGCAACAACGGGAACAACCGGAACAACCGGAACAGTGGGAATGGGAACAACCGCAACAACCGGAACAACCGCAACAGTGGGAATGGGAACAACCGGAACAACCGCAACAGTGGGAATGGGAACAACCGGAACAGTGGGAATGGGAACAACCGGAACAATGGGAACAACCAGAACAATGAGAATGGGAACAACCGGAACAACCGGAACAGTGGGAATGGGAACAACGGGAACAATGGGAATGGGAACAACCGGAACAATGGGAACGGGACAATGGGAACAACGGGAACAACCGGAACAGTGGGAATGGGAACAATGGGAACAATGGGAATGGGAACAGCCGGAACAATGGGAACGGGACAATGGGAACAACGGGAACAACCGGAACAATGGGAATGGGAATAACCGGAACAACGGGAACAACCAGAACAGCGGGAACAACCGGAACAACGGGAACAATGGGAATGGGAACGGGAATGGGGACAGGGCCAGCAGGGGGACAGCAGCAGGACAAGGGACACTGGTGACACAGGTGACAGGTGACACAGGTGACACAGGTGACACAGGTGACACAGGTGACAGACACAGGTGACACAGGTCACAGGTGACAGAGGTGACACACCTGTCCCTGGCGCTGGGTGAACAGCCGCACGCTGGGCCGGGGCTCAGGGAACAGGGGACAGTGGTGACAGAGGTGACACAGGTGACAGACACAGGTGACAGACACAGGTGACAGGTGACACAGGTGACACAGGTGCCACACCTGTCCCTGGCGCTGGGTGAACAGCCGCACGCTGGGCCGGGGCTCAGGGACAGGGGACAGTGGTGACAGAGGTGACACAGGTGACAGACACAGGTGACACAGGTGCCACACCTGTCCCTGGCGCTGGGTGAACAGCCGCACGCTGGGCCGGGGCCCCAGGCCGCTCTGGCTGTAGCTGCAGATCTGCGCCACCAGCGGCGTCCACTGCGCGCAGTGAGTGAGGCGATCAAACTCGTCCAGAGCCGCCTCCTGCCAGCCCTCGCCTGCGGGGACAGCGACAGTGTGGGGACAGGGACAGCGTGGGGACAGCAACACCGTGGGGACACTGTGGGGACAGGGACAGCGTGGGGACAGGGACACTGCGGGGACAGCGACAGCGTGGGGACAGGGACACTGCGGGGACAGGGACAGGGACACTGTGGGGACAGGGACACCGTGGGGACAGGGACACTGCGGGGACAGGGACAGCGTGGGGACAGGGACAGGGTGGGGACACTGTGGGGACAGGGACAGCGTGGGGACAGGGACATCGTGGGGACAGGGACATCGTGGGGACAGGGACACTGCGGGGATGGTGACACTGTGGGGAATGGTGACACTGCGGGGACAGGGACACTGTGGGGACAGGGACACCGTGGGGATGGTGACACTGTGAGGAACGGCACTGGACAGGGCCATGGGCCACCCCCCGAGGTGACAGAGCCATGTGCCACCCCCAGGAGGTGACAGGGCCATGTGCCACCCCCCGAGGTGACAGAGCCATGTGCCACCCCCAGGAGGTGACAGGGCCATGTGCCACCCCCGCTCACCGTTGGGGACAATCCCGGCCAGGCTGCACTCGATGGCCTGGAAGGGCAGGCTCAGGAAGTCGCTCCTGCAAGGACACGGGTGAGGACACTCCCAGGGGACAGGGACATTCCCCAGGAGTGTCACCCCCTGCCACACCTGAGGGCCCGCAGAGCCTCGGGGGGAGCCTCGCCGTTGTCCCCAAAGTCCACGTAGTACAGGTCCAGGTGGCCGCTGTCCAGCGTCCCCAGGACACGCGCCCGGTACCACTCGCCATCCTCCAGGTACGGAGCGGCCACGATGTCACCGGGGTGGAGGGACGGGGGTGGCACCTGGGGACACGGGGACAGTCAGGGGGACAGCAGGGGACAGTGCTGGGACAGGAGGGGACAGCAGGGGACAGAAGGGGACAAGAGGGGACAAGGGACAGAAAAGGACAAGGGACAAGAGGGGACAGTGCTGGGACAGAAGAGGACAGTGCTGGGACAGGAGGGGACAGGATGGGACAGGATGGGACAGGATGGGACAAGGGACATGGGGGACATTGCTCAGACAAGAGGGGACATGGGATGGGGAGGGGGGACACGGGATAAGGGACAGAGCTGGACATGGGATGGGGTAAAGGGACATGGAGGGGACACGGAGGGGACACAGAGGGGACATGGAGGGGACACAGAATATCACAGAGGGGACACAGAGGACACACAGGGGACACACAGGGGACACAGAAGGGACACACAGGGAACACAGAAGGGACACACAGGGGACACAGAAGGGACACACAGGGAACACACAGGGGACACAGAAGGGACACACAGGGGACACAGAAGGGACACACAGGGAACACAGAAGGGACACACAGGGGACACACAGGGGACACACAGGGGACACTGAGGGGACACACAGGGGACACAGAAGGGACACACAGGGGACACACAGGGGACACTGCAGGGACACAGAAGGGACACAGGGGGCACAGAAGGGACAGAGGGGACACAGAGGGGACAGAGGGGACACAGAAGGGACAGAGGGAACACTGCGGGGACACAGAGGGGACACAGAGGGGACACACAGAGGACACAGGGGACACTGAGGGGACACTGCGGGGACCCACGGCGGGGCTGCTCTGGTAGAAGTGCCCCATCTCGGCTGTCAGCTTGTCCAGCTGCAGGCTGCGCGTCCCCAGCAGCTGGATCCAGAAGTGCCCGGGGCTCTCGGCAGCCGACACGTAAACGTCCAGGTGTTCATCCGCGGGGAAGCTGAAATCCGGGCTGGGCACTGCAGGCAGCCACCCAAATCCACACAAAATCACCCAAAATCACCCAAAATCCACCCAAAATCACCCAAATCCATCACAAATCACTCAAAATCCACCCAAAATCACCCAAAATCCACCCAAATCCACCCAAAATCACCCAAAATCACCCCAAATCCACCCCAAATCCACCCAAAATCCACCCAAAATCACCCCAAATCCATCCCAAATCCACCCAAAATCACCCAAAATCCATCACAAATCACTCAAAATCCACCCAAATCCACACAAAATCACTCAAAATCCACCCAAAATCCACCCAAAATCACCCAAATCCATCA